AAATCATTGCTTCCTCCAAAAGTAACTCTTGGACCATCATAGGGAATTAGATTGCTCAAAAGGCTCGCATCACCCGTCATGTGTCTTGAACAGCCACTGTCTAAGTACCAGACACCTGGGTACTTAGTGGCTTCCTGCATTAGGAGGAGGAAGATTTTGGTACCCAATTAAGTTTGGGTCCGGAGTAGTTAATGGTGTGTGTCCCTACATCAAGTTTGAAGTTGCAGGGAATCTTCCTTACAGCTCTAAACTTGTTGGGATTGTAATCATAGTTGTAGGCATAAAACTTCCTACGTGCAGGAGGGGTTATTTCCTGTTTCCTCCTAGCAAACCTAGGTTGATAAGACCTATAATTTTGTCTAGGTTGTGCATAGTGTGTCCTGTGTCGGTTATAAGCATACTTAGGTGTCACAAATAGCTTCTAGGGTGAAGGATGACTATATCTTGGCATAGTTCTCCACTCAGAATTTCTTGGAAAACTCCTGTCTACCCCATAATGGGTATAGCCTCGTGTATAATGGGGGTTAGAAGGTTTTCTTCTGAAATTATTTCCTTTTTGAGGTCTATCCAGCTTCCTATAGTTCTTAGGAGGGACTACCTTTTTGGGAACTTCTGTTGGTTTTTCTTTTTCCTTCCCTTTCTGCTTATTTGGTTTAGCAGTAGGTTTAGGAAGGATGAAGGTTGTTTTCCCTTTCCTTTTAGAATTGGAGGGGTCAAACCCAAGTCCTTCACGACCCTTATGTTTGGTCGTTTCAAGAAGCTTATCCACTGCTTCTTTGGACTTAAGAGTCCCTAGTTCTTTGTTAAGGGATTTCACCTTTTCAGAGAGAGATTCATTTTCAGTCTTGAGTTGAGTGATCTCATTCAGTTGACTTTTCCGACCTTCAGTCAACTTGAGATTCTCTTCACTCAATAGTTTGTTCTCCTCTGTTAAGGAAGAATGTTTGAGATTTATCTCCTCAAAGTCTTTCATCATCTTTTTGAACTGGTCAAAAAGATTTTCAGAAGTTGGTATGCTTTCATAAGAAGATGAGCAGGAGGT